CTGACGTCAGAGTCCTGTGTCCAGCGATTACATCATGTGTTTCTGTAAGCATGAAGCGACGCTCTTCCGATCTGTCGCTTCATGCAGGTTGCCATAAACATGACTAATGTGTTTTTTTTTATAATTTCATTATTCTCTAGTGGGGACAAAACACAACACTTATGTAAAGTATAAAATAGTACAGTATTTTACATGACAGAGAATAATTACTTTAATATTTTCGAGACATTTGTCATGTTTTTGGCAACATAAGTTCCCCTATTGATAAAACTATTTCCACTTTTTCAATACAGAAACACATGATGTAATCGCTGGACACAGGACTCTGACGTCAGATCACCCCACTCGGTTTCCGAGCTTTTCATTGGTCGAGTTTACTGGTTCTACAGGAGGAGCCGCGGTCTCGAGTCAGACAAACTTGATTGACTGAAGGTCACGCCCACCTAACTCTGATTGGCTGTTGACAGGGCGAGCCCATAATAAACATAACCATGCTGTTTCGGTCAAAATGCAAAACGTTGTGGCCATTGTTACAATGTTTCATATAGTTGGGGGGAAAATAGCGCTTTATTCATTCAATCTTTATTTATACAGGTTAGTCTCATTGAGTCACGAGGACTCAATTACAAGTGAGACCTGTTTTAAACCAACACCACAGATGAGGTACACACGACAAACTTTAATATAAAAGCATATAAAATGAAAAGTAAATAAAAGAAGTGATATAAAACAAAATAAAAAAAAAATCTACATTATAAAACAGTGTATCATACTAAAAGCAGGAAGATGTCAGCATTGATTTTATGAAAAAATAAAGAAGAGGATGATTTTGTGACTTTTTTTTAAATATATTTTTAAATGCATATGAGGTTAATAACAGTCTCATTATGATATAAAATTACGATTATGTACTACAAATCCCGTTGCATCTTTCTGTAAAAATCAAAACAATCGGGGACGTGAGAATGTACTTCAGGGTTTGTGATTGGCTGGCGTATGTGTCAATCATCAGGGCTTAGTGACGGGGTCCTCCGGCTCCAGCAGTAAGCAGCACGTTAGTGCTGAATGAGCCTCACTGTTTGGCTCGTTGTCACAAGTTTCCCAAAGCCGACTATGGAGTTTGGAGTGGAGAGTTAACAGTTCAGTAAAAAAAAGTTCGTTTATTTTTTGCATGCGTTTTGGGCATACCTGGAACCCGACACTTTGTCAAATGTAGGGACGTGAGCATTCTTTTCTCCTTCTGTTGGTGAACTCTAGAAAATCAGTGAAGATGAACCGCTTGTCTTTTGACGATCCTTCGCTGGATAACCTGGACCCAACACTGTCGCTTCACGACCCAAGTGATATTGACACGGCCCTGCTAAGCGACATTGATGGTAAGAAGATAGAAGAAATACGGCTGTCGAAAATACAAGTGTTTAAAGAGCAGAAACTGCTCCACTCTTCGGACTTGTGCATTGCATCCGTGTTTCACGTGTGCATTCCGCATCATATCACAAAAACATTTAAAGCGCAAAGTCATTTACGGCGCATCAACCGTGTTTACGTTAGCTACCATTAGCCATAAGCTAGCTAGATTCTCTTAAGTTTAATTTAAGCCTCTTGTAGGTGGTATTATCAATTTTTATTGCTGTTTTTGTATGAGTTTTTACTATAATTCTATTGTAAATATATATAAAAAAAAATATATATATATAACTGAAATTAATATTAGTTTTTTATTTAGAGCAAGCTAGCTGTGAGGCTAATGTGTTTCTAAATTGTTAGCGCGCCCCGCCTCCAGCGTGCTCCACAGACCGAGGTTACTATCGTTCATTCCTCGTTCTGCTAAGTGCAGCCGCCGCAGTTGACCTAAATGATTGACAAACGTCGTACTCTGCAAAACTAAAACACTTTCGAACATGCTATCTCAGACCCAGGCGTTCATTTGGAAGTTTTAGTTTACTGTTGTTACAAGTGTAGCTGTTGTAATGATCAGTGAAGCGCTGCGCATAGAAAAGTTGCGCATAAATTGGTGAGGATTTTTCTGAAACAGCCCGTGCGTGTGTGTGCGTGTTTGTGTGTATGCTTTATAAGTGCCAACGTGTAGCGAGATAAGCCGTGTATTGCGTATATTGACCCAAACATATCCTGCTCCCTGAATTTGACCGGCTGTAACCTTTTGGTGGCGGTGCTCGATAGTAACCTCTTCTCCATATGAGCTGCATAGCGAGTCTGAGAGCTGCGTTCTGATTGGTCGAGAGCGATCACCTCATACACAACACTGGGTTACAAATTCAGGCACAACACACACGCAGCAGACATAACACACTTCCCCATAATAGATATTTTCTGGTCAATTAGAGATAAATATTGAATTAGCTATAAATTACTGATTAGGTTATGGAAAAATATACAGATCCAAGCACAGTGCATTTTTTTTGTTTTATTTATCATTTTATTTGTGAAGTGGTTGTGTTTTTGAATAGTATGTATTTTTCTCTACATATGGGGGACACTTAATGCCATTGGTTTCTAAGTTTACAAGAAAATAATGTCATAAAAAGAAAAGTGTTTTTGCTATAGTTTTTACCCATTTGATTTAGCCAGTTGTAGAAATAAAATCAAAACAAGAAAAATAAGATAAAAATAAAATGTTATAGGACACCATCTGAATGTTGGTTTGAATACTCGATTAACTCTTTATCACCTCCTCACCCAGTATAAAAGGCCAGTAATCATTTTGACAATGTTTGTGTGTGATTTTCTTTCTTTTGTGTTAACAAAATATCTCATGAACCAGTTTTACATTTTATTAAAGCTCTCAAAGAAATAATCTTTAGTTGTACGTTTGCAACTCGTTAACTTTTAGAGTCCAGTCACCTCAAGGTGGTCACCACATCTAATCAACATTTGCCATATTGACTGACGTTACTATTATTATTACTATTATTACTGATATTGAGCTAAGGTTTGAGCTTGCAGCAGCTGGAGAGTCTTCACCAGTATTGCGTGAGATCAAGTGTAAATTGTTGACAAGATTTGACCAAATCTGCTGTAACTCTGTCTTTTATAAGATGATCTCAGTTTAATGCTTTGTTGTAAATGGTGTCAGGCTGTATGCATTAGAATGGCTAAGAATTCCTGATAGTTTTGCCCTTCTTTGACATTATGTTTTTAGACAAATAGACAAACTTTTGAACATGCTCTTTGATCTGTTTGAACACAAACCTCATACTTTTAAATACAGGATTTACAAATAACCAGAAATTTAGATAAAAATTAAGATTCTGTGGTCAAAACATTGACACCCTATCCTCAATTGCTCCCCGGGCGCTTTCAGTAGCTGCCCACTGCTCCGCCTGAGTGTGTCCCAGGTGCGATGGGTTAAATGCAGAGAGCCAATTTTGCCATTGTATGGGAACATACAATGACGACAACACATAACACATTATTATTATTATAATAATGTCTCTTGATTTATTTTTCTGTGCAGACATGCTTCAGCTCATCAATAACCAGGACATGGAGTTTGGTGGACTCTTTGATCCCAGTCCATTTTCAGGAGGCCCTCCTACCCAAGAGAGTACTGTCCTGTCGCAGACCGTCACCTCTGCTGCCCCTCCAGCTACCACAACTCCTTCGTCTTCATCTACTTCTTCCATCCTAAGCAGTAACCCTCACCTAGACGCTCTCTTGGGCCCTCCCATCACCCGTAGCTCCTCCACCCCAGACAAGGCCTTCCAGCCACCCACATTTCAGCAGTCTCCCCTCTCCCATGTACCCAGCTCCACCCCGAGGCAGCAGCCGTCCTCGACTCCACGGGCTCAGAGCCTCAGGCAGCCCCAGGTGGAGCAGCCTCAACCCACTGTCAGTCCTTCTGTACCTGTACAGGCGGCTTCTCCTCATGGTTCACCAAATCCAGCGTTCAGCTCCACCACGCAGGTGGTTTTCACCTCCGTAGCACCTCAGTCCCAGCCACAGACACCACTTCAGGCACAAAGCAACTATAAGAGCCAAACTAACTACACAGGTAAGTCCTCTTTATTGCTGATGGCCTTGTCATAGAGGAGCTTTAGCTGTAATGGCTGGAGGGAAAGACGTAATCTCTAAAACACAACCAAAAAACAACTTTTTTATGTAAAATACAGGTTCTTTTGTTTTACAAGCATCATTGGAACAATGCAGTATTTATCATAATTTGCTTTGTAAATATATGTTTAAAATGTAATGTGATTTGAAAAGTACAAAATAAATGCTGGAAATTAATCTTTTTAATATTATTGCCCTGTTTAAAGTGTGATCATTCGATGTGCCACCTTCGCTCCGATGATTCAAAAATAAACTTTTGGAGTTTTGGACAGATTTGTCAGTCTCTGTCAGTGGAAACTTGTTGTTTAGTGAGATGGTTCTTATATATTGCCTTAATCAAGCATGGCAGTAGGTAGCTCAGACTCACCTGATCACGTAACTACATTGTAATTGATTAAACTTTATTTATCTGTGTTAAAATGCCACTGCAGCACAGCGGTGTGTGTCAAAATGGGTTTGGAAGTGCTCAAAGAGCAGAGCAGACAGTCCGAGGTGATCACTCATCCCAGACACTAATCTGATGGAATATGATGGCATCTGTCATGCTTATTAGATATAGTAAATTTTTATTACCACACAAGACCTCCCAGTCCTGATACCGTTTTGCAAATGCAATGATTGTCCAGGCTGGAACTGATAAGAATTACAAGATGACTCAATGAGTTATCAGGGATTTATAAGTAGGTCACAGGTCACCTGTTTGCCTAAAAATTCACCGACAAAGGTCTTTACAACGCTACAAGCTTATTGTTGATGTAAAGAATAGAATAAGTGATTTTGGTTATTATTAATATTATTTTGATTAGAGCTGGTCCTGCTGTCAGTGTTAATGTTGTTTTTTAAGTTTTCATAGATGTAATGTATTCCAATAATCTATTGAAAATTGGGAGTGTCTTGTCTGAATCTTTGGTACCTTTCTTTAACTTTTTTTTAATGACAGATTAAATTGTATATAGACGGTACGGTTCATTTTCAACATGATACGACAATTTTATTTTGCATGTCGTTTGGATCTTTACATCAGTTTGACAGATTATATAAACAAAAACTGTAATTAGATGTGCGTTTTACTGTCATGGCTTTACTGGTGACATATAGCGTAGCGCTTGTGCACTTTTTAATTGAATCTTAGTCAAATTAACAAGAGAAAACTAAGTGTTTGAGCTGCAGGTGAACTTTCTGCTGTACGATTTAACAGATTGCAACATGCTCCAGCTTGATCTGAATTTTTGCGGATAAACATTGTAAAAATGATAGAACGATTTTTATTTGACAGAAACATTAGTGAGTTGATGTTTTCAGGTAAATTAAATGATCAGATTTGTCTTGAATTTATAACAATTACATTGTTGGAGTAGTTCAGTTATTAAAGCTATAATTTAAGAATCAGATTCTTTTCAGTTATCTTCTGATACACATTCAAAGTGACTTTATGCAGATGTTGATTTTAATAAATCAACTGGTTTACTGTCCAGTTTAGTGCAAATGGCACAAGATGGATTGATATTGGATAGTTTAGTAACACGTGATTGATTCAGGGCTAAATAAATCTTTGTGCCTTCACTGTTTTGCAGCTGGCAGCCCCAGCAGCGGGAGCACGCTCTTGTCATCCTCCCCTTCAAGCGTCCAACCTGTGACCATTCAGACTCAGGTCCAGGGGCTGACCACTACTGCTCCTATCTTGGCCACAACAGCAAGCCCTCCAGGTCAAACCATCGCACCCCAAGTACAGCAAGTCCCTGTAAGTGTGTGAAGCAGAGAGCACTTGGATGGATAAACTGAACGCATTGCGGTGTTTGTTAATGTTTTGTGAATATTTACATCTCCCTCTCAGGTTTTTCTGCAACCCCAGTTCATCAAAGCTGAGTCCCTGCTGCTAACGACTCTGAAACCTGACCCTTGCATGGTCACAACTGTGGCTTCAACCACATCTCTGGCCACCAGCCCAGTTCAGAGCACCTCACTGCAGGTAAAGCACATTTAAATTCAGCCCACTAAATTATTGCCTACAGTGTGACATACAACTATCTAATACCCTGTTTATCTCCAGGCTTTTATGGGTGGGGGCACCATCCTGACCACGGTGCCTGTGATGATGGATGCTGAAAAGCTGCCAATCAACCGCATTGCCATCGCAGGCAAGCCAATGGGCCAGCCACACAAAGGGGAGAAGCGCACAGCTCACAACGCAATCGAGAAGCGCTATCGCTCTTCTATTAATGACAAAATATTGGAGCTGAAAGACATTGTAGCAGGGACTGAAGCCAAGGTGGGAGAACTGTTAATGACACTAATTTTTTTTTTAAATTACAGCATGTTTTTTTTTGTATATACCATATAGTACCATACCATACAACTTTTTATATAAAGCACAAAAATGGCAGCAAGGCCAACCAAAGTGCTGTACAATAAAACCAGCATGCAAAAGACACCGGATAAAATATGTTAATCAACAGAAGCAAACAAACTATTAGAATGACTAGAATAATAAAACCACTGAGGTTAAAACCAACTCACTGGGTTGAAGGCCAGGGAATAAAGTGTGTTTTTAAAGGAGACTTAAAACGGTGAGAGGAGGAGCCTGCAGTGGCTCCAGTTTTGGACCAGCAGCAGAGAAGGCTTATCACCAATGAGCAAAACTTGCGCGTGGAACCAATAAAAGCATCTGATCAGCTGACCTCCGAGAGCGCTGCGTTATGTATATCAGACAAAATGTACGACTGAATGACAAATATTGATTGGGCTTGCTTGCCTTGGTGTACCTGATCTTCAAAATGTTGGTTGGAGGGAAGTTTTGAAGTAAGGTCTTGGAAGTGGGTATTTTCAGCAAAATACCCATCTTCAATTGTCACAAGACATGGTCATAATGTTATGGCTGATTGGTGTAGGTATAACTCTTACATTGCAGAATGACACTCATTGTGTGTTTTATACTGAATGCTGTTCTTTTTTTTTGTAGCTCAACAAGTCTGCAGTGCTGAAGAAAGCCATCGACTACATCCGCTACCTGCAGCAAGCCAACCAGAAACTCAAACAGGAGAACATGACTCTCAAAATGGCAGCACAGAAAAACAGTACGCACTTAAAATGTCCCTTTTCCATGTCCTGCAGCAAATAGTCATTTCTGTTCATGCAGAGTAATTGACTTTTGTGATGAGGTCTGCTGGCAGAATGTTTGTGTACAGTAGTTTGAAGCTTTTTAATCTGTGGTTTCCTTCGTCTTTCCTCTGTTTTCAGAGTCTCTCAAGGACCTGGTTGCCATGGAGGTGGACGGACAGGCAGAAGTGAAGAGTGAGCTGCCCACGCCGCCAGCCTCTGACGTGGGCTCCCCGTCCTCCTTCTCACACTGTAGCAGTGACTCAGAGCCCGACAGTCCGATGGGGGAGGACACAAAGGTATGAAGTGAATAGTTAATGTGCTCCGCCTGTCTGCTGATGCTTGGGTGTGATGTTCAGTGTTTCACATCACATTAGGGTTTAGGATGAAACAGAGTCCCTGTCGAAGAAAATCATTGAATCGCACCTTATTGTAATGAGCGTTCATGCATTCACGTCATTATTTGTTGTGCTTTAGAGCTAATTGAAGCTTATGGACCTCATGCAGTCTTGTGGAGAAATAATTGTTTTTTTTTGTTTTCTTCTCATCTAAACTGAAGTTTTCTATGATGTTAGCATATAACAAATGTGTCATACCAAGAAAGTCATTTTAATTTTACCAACTATTATCAAAAGCTTGAAAATTCACTTGGAGAATGCTTAAAAAATGTCTTCCTTTGACTCTGGGGAACATGCAAGAACACTGACAGATAACTACTGGTATATATAGTTGTTGTCTTTATGTCAGTTTCAGAATGGTCGGTATTAATTTGATCCGTTTGTCTCCTGTTTGTCTGGCAGCCAAGTATTGGCATGTTGGATCAATCTGCAGCAGGTGACGGTGTCAACGGCATGTTGGATCGTTCCCGCATGGCGTTGTGTGCTTTTACCTTCCTCTTCCTCTCTCTGAACCCCTTGGCCGCTCTGCTCTGCTCATCTGGTAGCGGCTCTGCAGAGATCACCACCCATCATACCAGCAGAAGTGTCCTGGGTGTGGATATTGCAGGTATGAATAAAGAGGAGGAGTGCTGGTATTGTTTTTAAACACGAATCTTAAGACTCTATTGATCGATGATTAGTTGTTAAATGACAGTATCTGTGTTGCCAACAGCTAACTCGTGGGGTTGGATGGATTGGATGCTGCCAACTATTTTAGTGTGGCTGTTGAACGGTATTTTGGTATCGGGTGTTCTCATCAGATTGTTGGTTTACGGAGAACCTGTCACCAGACCACACTCTGGATCATCGGTTTTGTTCTGGAGGCACCGTAAACAGGCAGACCTGGACCTTGCTAGAGTAAGTTTGCGTGTTTGTTTTTCATTTAACCCACTAAATCTATCATTAAGTCACTTTTCCTATTTATCTTTGATCACAGGGAGATTTTGCTCAGGCCAGTCACAACCTGCGGACCTGCCTAAAGGCTCTTGGTCGTCCCTTGCCCACCTCTCAGTTAGACCTGGCCTGCGCGGTGCTCTGGTCGCTGCTAAGATTCTGCCTCCAGCGCCTTTGGGTCGGTCGCTGGCTCGCTGCCAAGGCTGGGGGTTTAAGAAGTGATCGCCCCCTGCAGGAGGATGCGTGCAAAAGCAGTCGGGACGCTGCACTGGTTTACCATCGTCTGCACCAGCTTCACATGACAGGTCGGCCATAGATGTTTTGTTAAATTAGTTGTAGATTCGGTGATGGTAAAGACTAAACTGATAAATTTAGTTAAAATGTGTTTGATAACATTTAGCTTTTTCTTGTTTTCATTCACGATATGTTTTAATTACATTATAGCAATATAATAATATTATTATTATTATGTGAAAGGTTCAGTTTTTAGTAAAACATCATTTGTGTGTACAAAGGTAAGCTGAATGGTAGCCACCTGACAGCAGCCCACATGGCTTTAAGTGCGGTGAACCTGGCAGAATGTGCTGGCTCCTGTCTCCCTGTAGCCTCTCTGGCTGAGGTCTACGTCTCTGCAGCTCTGCGAGTCAAAGCCAGTTTGCCAAGGATCCTTCATTTTACTTCTGTAAGTTCCTGTGTTCATGCATGCACAAATATCTCACTAACCTATGCTGTGCAGATTTACGTGGTGATTTGGCTTTGATGTTATCACAAACAAGTATTTACCGTATTTCCCGGCGTAGACGTCACATTTATTATGCATCGCCGCTTGACCCGTTGCGTTTATTTAATGGTCAAAACTAGGGATGCACGATACTGGATTTTTGGCCGCTATCCAACATGCCGATATGTTAAAACTTATTTGACCGATACCGATATTTTATACACTTTCCTTTGTCAGAACATATCCCTCTTATTTAGGCTTATTTGCAACAAAAATTGTGTAAGAGCTGGTGACATATATTCAGTAACAGCCATATGATATGCATAGCACTTTAACTTATATTAAATGAAAAGTGTTAAATGTTATTTATTAGTATTAGTCACCTGCGATGCTGTCTCACTTGTGGAGGCTTGTTCCAGGTTCCTAGCTGCAGTGTGGGATCCTCTGCACTCCTGTGCATGAAGGACAGACTTTTAAGTTCAAAGTTTTTGTCTATCCATTGTGCCGTAAGACTAATCATGCTAACGGGGCTAACACGACGTCCAAATGTCTGTGGTAAAACTCGTCCAACATGTCGTGCTATCGGCTATTAGCTTCTCAATGACGTCGGAAATGACGGCTTGTAACTCTGGTAACGTTACATCAGAAAAATATCTCCGACTGGGGACGATGTAGCGAGGCTCAACGTAGTCCATAAATCTTCGGAATCCGACATCCTCACCAACAAAAAATAGAACTTCCACACGTCGATATTTTGAATTTTCCTCTCCACCGTGAGATCAGGTAGGCACACGTGACGTCATCACCTTGCGCTGCCGCTGCAACGTCATCACGTTGTGCTGCACCGTCATCGTGTTGTGCTGCCACCGATACCATGCCGATAATATCGTGCATCCCTGGTCAAAACAGCTTCATTTCGCCTGGGCGGCGCATCGCCATCCATCCATCGTGGCCGGAGCCACTAGCTCTTCAGCGTTGCTCCACCTGCACCAGCTGAGTGAAGCGAACGCACACAGGAGCACTGGCTGTTGCAGTTCTTCGAAATTTAACAAGATTAACACTTAAAAGTTATTATTTTGCTCGACATTATAGCAAAGGTGTGTCTCAGTTTAACTTTTCCTTAATAAATGGACTTTAATGGTCAAAACAGCTCGATTTCGCCTGGGTGATGAGGCGAAATGAAGCTGTTTTGACCCTGAGCAAACAGACATGTTTGCTCCAGGTGTTCCTCCCCGCTCCGCCGCCGGAGCAGGGACAAAGGTGGCTCATGGCTCTACAGAGTCCACCCCGTCTGCACATAGCTGCTTTCTGGGGCTGCGGATCATGCCCCTCACTGCCCCTCACTGCCCCCTTCCTCCCCGCTCAGGCGACAGAGGAACGCTGTAGAGCTCCCAACCAGAGCCGTGATGAATGGATGGATGGGTGGCGCATCGCCGTGGAGCCTTCTCGAGCCTCTTGCGGCTGCAAATGGTTCATGTCAGAATGAATGAACATTTCAAGCGTCGGTCAAAAATTGCGTTATGAATATGGGGAAAAAAACTAATAAGTCACTTGAGTGTTTAAATTACAGGACCTAAATTTATGCAACACACTGTGACTTATAAGCTGGAAAATACGGTACATGTCACTAGTGGTTGTTTACAATCTAAGTGATTCACAGTGTAAAAATCTGTGGTTCTGAGTTGATATAAATTGTCTTCCAGGGTTTGAAAACGGTGAACTTTGTTGTTTATAAGTTAAGTTTACTTCCCTTCTCGTGAAACTAAAGCAGAACATGATCTCTCTCCTGACAGCGAGTGTTTCTGAGCAGTGCCCGCCAGGCGTGTTTGTCCTCCAGTGGCAGCGTGCCTCCGGCTATGCAGTGGCTCTGCCATCCACTCGGCCACCGCTTCTTTGTGGACGGGGACTGGGCTATTCGCAGCACGCCTAAAGAAAGCATCTACAGTCAGGCTGGCAACACTGGTAAGAGAAAACAAAAAGTCCTTGTTGTTTGTTTGTTTTAAATGATAATGCTTCCGAACTTTGCAGAATCATCTTGAAAAATTCCACTCTAAAATATTTGTGCACTCTTTTTTTTGTATTTGTGTAGTAAATGTCTTTTGTTTCTCTGACAGTGGATCCTTTGGCTCAGGTGACTCAGGCCTTCAGAGAACACCTCCTTGAGAAGGCTCTTTATTGTGTCGCCCAGCCTCACGAAGAGAAGAGTCCCAGCCAGGGTGAAGGGTACGAAAACATGTCAGGCTAGAAAAGTGAAGACAGACAGACAGCAGAGGCTGTTGTAATGTTGGTTTTAAAGTTAAAAACAATTGTTGCGACACCTGTTAACCCTTAAGTTCGTGTCTGTCATCAGGGAGTATGCTGATGCCCTAGAGTACCTCCAGCTGTTGATCAGCGCGTCGGATGCAGCCGGGGCCACCTCCCAGTCCTTTGCAATCGGCTCCAACATGGCTACTGTGACAGGTAGGTCACCTCAAGAGGTGGAGTTAATTTTAACATGGCTTTAAACTCAACACGCTTGTTGTCAATTTGTAGCAATGGTCTGAGAAGCAATTGTTATTTTATATAACCAGGGAAAATATTCCATAATCCCATCTTTTCATTCTCACTTCACACAGTTTGTTTTCCTTAGTGTTCTTTCAAAATTATAAAATAAACAAATAAATAAAATGAAACAACAGTCCGTTTTTATTTTGTAGAGATCAGGATGTTTGACGTTGGTGTGTCTCACCACTTTATCTTGTCTTCACTAATCTAAGCGGAAGGGGAGGGGTGTGTAGCTAAAGGGAGGCATCTGCTAGATTGCTTCATTTATCTTCAGCACTGTCAAATCAGTGATCACCTTGAGAGGATGTGCAGGGATTTAATAAGAAACTTTTCTTGGCAGAGTCTCAGGCTGCAGTGTTTTGAAATGTGTGTGTGTGTGTGTGTGTGTGTGAGGGGTGCACGACAGTTTTACCTCCTAAAATGATTTTAAAGATGGCAGATTTTTCACGTGATTACTTCAGAGGAGCAGGTGTTTTTATTTTTTTTGTGCACCATCATGCAATGTTCCATGTAAAAGAGGCCTGTTTTTGCATAATTGTTTTTTTCTGAGTGAGTCGTGTTTTTGACTTTGCTTTCTCTCCAATCTTCAGGTTGTGACCCCCACTCTAAGTGGTGGTCGTCTGTTGCCATAGTGATCATCAACTGGCTTCAAGGAGACGATGCTGCAGCAGAGAGACTTTATCCGACCGTTGAGCACCTGCCTCGCAGTCTGCAGAGCGCAGAGTGAGTTAGAAATGTTCATGCTGGGAGTTCAGCTTCCAGCTCAGAGTGTGTGTTGTGTAACTCTCTGCCCTCACACACTTTAACCTGTGTCCTTTGTCTGATTCTCTCCCTCGTTCTGGCAGGAATCCTCTGCCCAAAGCGTGTCTGAACACATTCAGGGCAGTCAGGGCTCTGCTGTTCAAGCCAGAGAACTGCCAGCTGAGTCTGAGCTTCACTGACAAGGCCAGCGTCCTGCTCCGAGACAGCCTCAACATGGGACCACACTGCCACAGCTCCAGTTTAGACAAGGTGCACACACACACACACACAGGAAGCACTGGTGTCTTTCAGATTCACACGCATACATTAAACTGATATTTTTAAGCCATAGGCTTCAGATTTACAGATCCCCCTGCAGCGATTCCACTCTGGGATGCTGCAGTGTCCTACCCGATGGTGTTCAGCAGATGGCGATGCTGGTGGATAGGCAGCTCAGTGTGCGTGTGCGTGTGTGTGTGTGTGTGTGTGTGTGTGTTTCTGCATGTGCGACTATGGCCAGAGCTGCGGTGCATTGTAGTTGCATTGCATGTGTGTCTTCTAGGAGTGCAATGTGCCTGCAGTGCAACACAGAGCTGGGCCACAAACGGCAGAACACCGTCAGGATGAGACAGATGTAGTGTTTGTTACTGTATCACAAAACCCGTGAGGAGTCGATGTGCACGCCATCATTTAGCATTGTACAGGTCCTTCTCAAAAAATTAGCATATTGTGATAACGGTCATTATTTTCCATAATGTAATGATAAAAATGAAACTTTCATATATTTCAGATTCATTGCACACCAACTGAAATATTTCAGGTCTTTAATTGTTTTAATACTGATGATTATGGCATACAGCTCATGAAAACCCAAAATGCCTGTCCCAAAAAATTAGCATATCATGAAAAGGTTCTCTAAACAAGCTATTAATCTAACCATCTGAATCAACGACGTAACTCTAAACACCTGCAAAAGATTCCTGAGGCTTTTAAAAACTCCCAGCCTTGTTACTCAAAACCGCAATCATGGGTAAGACTGCCGACCTGACTGCTGTCCAGAAGGCCATCATTGACACCCTCAAGCAAGAGGGTAAGACACAGAAAGAAATTGCTGAACGAATAGGCTGTTCCCAGAGTGCTGTATCAAGGCACCTCAGTGGGAAGTGAGCAATCAGCCTGTGGCACTGCTGAGGTGTTATGGAGGCCCAGGATGCTTCGATAGCTGCCTTAAGGACCTGTATGCTAAACCAAAACAAGCTAGTTTCCCCTTTTGTATTTCCCTCAATTTTCTAAACACTACTCATTTGTCACATTTCACAGTCCAGGTCAGTGGTCTGGACCTTTTCTATGGTGTTAAAACATGTACTAATTAAATAATGACAATAATAAAAAAATCATTCTAAACTAATCCTGCTGACTTGTGTTGTTTTCCACAGGTTGTTGAGTTGTTGGTGTGTGATCTCCTGTTGGTTTTGAGGACAAATATCTGGCATGTGCAGCAGGAGGGGCCAAGTCCTGCAGGGCCGGGATCAGTGGGCACCATTGGTCCTGCGAGTCTTCATCAGGCGTCACCACCAGAACTCCAGGGCTTTCAGCAAGATCTCAGCTCCCTACGCAAGCTGGCACAGAGCTTCAGACCTGCCATGCGCAGGGTAAGAACGAAGATGTAGCTGTTTAATTTGGACACAAACGTTTCTGGTAGGGAATTCTGTGTGTGAGGAGTTTGAAGAAGATTCTTTGTCTTGATGCACAGACATTAAGATGGATCAAGTACGTACATTACTGTGCAAAGTATTTTAAATATTCCTTAATTTTTATATATATATATATATATTGCTTCCAATGAGCCAATCTTTTTTGTAGTCTTTTTAAATGGTCCTAATCAATCGTTTTCTGGGCTTTCAGGTTGTTTTCACTTTTCTGTCTAGATCTTGTACCAAAACAAGACATCAAATGCAAGAATGTGTGATGTGAAAGTGAAGAACAAAATAAGTGTTGTTCATAAAAAGCTTTGTACAGTCAATGAACAGCGTCTTTAAAAACAGAAAACAAAATCTAACTAGAGATGCAGCATTCTTCAGTTGCTTATTTACCTTACAAGATTTCAGCTAAAAGCTTTGTGAGAGTCATCTCGTTGGTGCTAAAATATTATTTTATGTGCCAGTTTGTTACTTTTCACAGATTCAACTGAAGAAACAGAATGATTTACAGGTCAGAGTTAGACGAATTAAACAAAAGTAAGAAAAAAAACTCAGAAAAAGACCAGGTGCTGGGCTAAGAAGTGAAGCCAGTCGACCTCCCGCCACCTGAAATACTCTCATAAAACCTAAAGAACTCCTTAAGACTTCTTTAATGTATTACAAAAATGTGTGGCTCCTTGGAAACGTAAAAAATATTGAAAGATGGCTCAAAACTTTTGCACTTTACTGTGTAGGACAGGGCTGTTCAACTAAACTGCACAGGGGGCCACAGTTACTGAAAGCCAAGAGCTCAGGGGCCGGACCTCCAGCTGTTCTTGTCATTAAGTTTGTTTGTTTGATGGTTTAAAAATCTAGTTTTATTTAAAAATGAACCCATCGGTGGTCCGAACTGAACTCACCTGTGGGCCTGGTTTGGCCCCTGGGCCGCCAGTTGAATAACCTGGTATAGGATATAAATGAGAAGAAAAATATTGTTGGAAGATGAGTAGAAACTTCCTGTGAACATCCTTGCTGGTTCTGTATGCTACGATTCTCAGTAAAAAGACGGAAGGAGTTGCAGCCTGTGCACACACACACACACACACACACACACACAGCCCGAGGCCAGTTTGTTCAGAGCTTTTCAAATCTGAGGTAGAACAGAACATTACGTGTGAGTCATCATCACTCGCTCTCATCCCTCCCCACCCCGCATTTCTGCGTCTCTCATCTCTCCGTCTCATTTCAGTTGTTCCTCCACGAAGCCACAGCCAGGCTGATGGCGGGGGCCAGTCCCACCAGAACTCATCAGCTTCTGGATCGCTCGCTGCGGCGCAGAGCAACACCGGGAGCCAAGACAGGTGAGTGTGTGAACAGCTTACTACCACGTTCAGACTTCAAGTCATTTTAGCAACGTTGTGCTATTACTTCAACATCCACAAAGACATTCGCTCATCGTAGAGTTTTTTGGCCGGTTTTACAACAAAATGAGCGTATGGTTATAGTTTCAGTGCTGATCATTGCTTACTGTTATAAGCTCAGTTTACTAAATGTTTAATAAAGTAAAGTAATTTCCGCCGTACACGTCGCTCCACCCTATATGTCGCATCAGTCCAAATATGTCTAAAAAAGTGGGAAAATCCATAAATATCTTGCTTCGCCATATACGTTGCGTCTATTATTCGTCACCGCTGATGCGTCACGTTTGTTACGCATCACCACTGACAACCCGGAAATGTGGGCCGAACCATCGATGGGCTGCCAAATGGCGGCCGCAGGAACGAGAGGACGTTTAACAAGAATTTAACAAGATTAACACTTAAAAACAATTATTTGTTTGCTGGAAATTATAGTAAAGGTGTGTCTCAGTCTAACGTTTGCTTAATAAATGCACTTTAACTGTCAAATTAGCTGCATTTCACCGGGGCGGTGCAGCTGGTTTAACTTGCTCCAAGCACAATCAGAACGACGGTGGGGATCTGTGGCAAGCTGATTGTATCATTAATAGCTGGTGGAGATTCTCAGTCATCCAGGACATGGTACATTCAAAAAAGTTCAAGAAAAAAACAAAGCATAAAGTATAATAAATGAAGTCCAGTTGTTTTTGTCTCTAAATTGTCCCTAGGTGTGAGTGAGAGAGTGAATGTTGTTTGTCTCGTTTGTCTCTATGTGGCCCTGTGATGGACTTACGGGTCCAGGGTGTACCCCGCCCCTCGCACAGTGATTGCTGGACATGGGCACCCCCATGACCCAAAAAGGAAGAAGCGGGTAAAAGATAATGGATGGATGGATGACTGTTTTTGTCTTGATCTTTTTTGAATTTGTCATTATAACCACTTTTACCAATTACATGATACAACAGCATGCCTTACTGCTACTACTTCGCTACTGCCATCAAGTGGCTGAAAGTGGTACTGCTCAGTTTTTTTTACAGTCAGAACGATTGAAAACAGTCATATCTCAGCCAAAAATTGATTTATTTATATATATATATATATATATATGGTTAAAAAAAAACAAACAAAAAAAAACATAAATGCGTCACTTCAGCCTATAAGTCGCAGGGCATGTAAATTATGCACACACACAAAAAAAAAAAACCTGCGACTTATAGGCTGAAAAATACGGTAGATATGTTTTATGGTTTATCATCAATGCAGAATAAATTATGTTCCCCATAAAACTGAAGTTTGTATTCATTTGCCTATTTGTTCATCACATCTGAACAAATAAACCGTTGTGGACTGATCAGCACTTGACTGAAAACATTTCATGTTTTTCGTGCAGAAGAGTGCGAGGCGCGGCCCGGCCAGCGGGAGCAGGCCGAGGCGGTGATGCTGGCGTGTCGCTACCTCCCTCCCTCCTTCCTGTCGGCACCGGGTCAAAGGGTGGGAATGCTGGCTGATGCAGCCCGCACTCTGGAGAAGCTGGGAGACAAACGGACCCTCCACGACTGCCAGCAGATGATCATCAAACTGAGCAGCGGCACCACCGTCACCAACAGCTAGAGCCAAGGGAGCGGAAAGACTTGCATGGACGCTTGTATATAGAAGCATCTCTTATATACAGAAGCGCACACAAACAAAACCAACAGGGGAGGGGGGGAGGGGCAGTTTTTGTTTTATGTTCTGTCTTTCTTACCGTTCATCATCAAAGTACGCTGTACAGATCCCAACTGTAACTCTGGATCATCAGAACGCACTTCTCATGGAGCCGATCTGTGAGAATGCACTGCAGTGTTGCACTTGGACCACAGAGAGGAGCCACCCCCTGAGGTTACTGGTGCAGTCGGTCATCGTAGTTCCACCCCGACTAGACAGGAAGCTTAGCATCACTACCGACTGCTCTGATTGGCTGCAACGTGAAGCGTCTCTTTATCTATAAGAGAATAAACAACCAAACGTGATTTGACCGTTGGGCTTGTCCAACGAGAACCTGCTCCACGAGCTTCTTACAGTAAACCGTCTGAACTCCATGTCTTTATCTGCACTAGGCCTGTGAGGCTGCTTTTAATGAGCTAAATTAACAATAATATGGCTTTATAAACTTATTTTCGTAGAAGTTGTGTTTTTGTTTTGCTGTGTACATATTTACTATGTATTTATAATTTAGACAAACTTTTGATTTGGCTGTTTAGTTGTTTTTTATATTTTTTATGCATAAGCAGAGTTATAAATGCTTATTTTGCCCCTTTAAATTTGTTCTACATGGTCAATAGTGTCATTACTGTATCATATCAGATAAATGTCAAAATGGTGGCATGATCAAGTTACTGTCTTCGACCCCTGAGCTGTTGGACCTTCATCCAACTATGATTTCAAAATCAGTGTTCGGTTCTGCGGCTGGAAACTAACAGAACTTTAACATTTCTCATGGAAAAAAATCATTTTATGTTTGAATGATTAACGTTTTTGTTTCCAGAAAAGCACCCTTAGTAACTTTGTATGTGTAACTCCAACACAAAGGGCAATATTTGCTCTTTTTAGCTGTTGCAGTTTCATACTTTCAGTGAACCACATTTTTCATATGATTTTTTAAAATGAAACGTGGAATTGAAATGACCATGAAGCTGCCAGAGTTTAAAGTCTTGGTTATATGTTCTGTAACTGACATCAGTTTCAACTATCACATGTAAATATTAAATCATTTTGTTAAGAAGTTTACTGCAATGCTTTCATATTTTTTACAACAATGTGTTGAGACCAGAAGATTAAAGGAATACAAATAGAAATGCAAGAAAAAGGACATTTGGACCTTATTTCTTAATTCTAGTTGCAGATATCATTGCTGAAACTGACATCTCTTTCTATCTGAAATGTATTTCTGATATTTGGAAACAAGTTACTTAAAGGGGAGATCCCACTCTTCTAGAAAATTACTCTTATTTAAGCTTCATCCTAATCATAGTGATTATAAATGATCAAGGATACTTTTTTTATATTTCATTTCCCCAACAGTTCGACTTGAGGCAACTGAAAACGCTTTCTCTAAAAGTTTAAAAGGTTCTTTTGGAGATGCCAAAGACGCCAAGTATGCAACTGAAAATATTTCAAGAAGCTACTTCAGCAGCGGCTCTGAAGGACTTGCTTTTAACAAAATATCCATAATGGTGAGGAAATTGATTCAAGTCATCTCAAGGTTGTGTTCAGTTGTGGGGCAGAGGACAAGCCAAGCCTGCAGTGTATGACATCATCTTCACCCAGGGTAAGATGTGTTTTTATCTTGGTTTCCCTTCAATCGCTCCAAGAGTTGGGAGTCAGGCCAGGCAGACTGACACGTAAGATACCATCTTTGTTTAGCACAGGAGTTAATGTGATTATTTTTTTGTAATCAAATCATATTTAGGTTGGTTAAAGTTCTGAGACACATCCTCAGAAGTGGACCTTGGGTTCATTGGGTGTTTTTGTTAATAATTAATTGACACCCTTATTAAAGACCAACCTGAGGAGCATCGGGCTTTGTTTTGTGCTCTTTGGCCAGTCGGGTTTACAGAAGAGTCAAGGTTAAAATAAAACGTCAGGTTTGTTGTTTAGGGTTGGACAGTCAAGTTTAGGTTAGTCAGTTTGCTCATTGAATTCTGTCAGATACTTTATTTGAATGTTTCAGTAAGTTTTACTGCAGATTTTTAATGTCCGTCATTAAAAACCAGACAGAACCACGTATGTAGATCATAACTTTCTGAGTAGGCCTCTTAAACTAGTGGTTAGTTTTTAAAACATTTATCTAGTAAAGATGTGTAACTCAGCAATTTCTACCATTACCTATCACAAAAGGCGTTCCTCAAGGTTGTGTTTTAGGACCTATTCCCTTTACAGTTTTCATGAACAGTGAGGCAGAATGTTACTAATGTGTCTTTATGCTGATAACAGTTTATTGTATCACTAGGACTGTTGTTCTTTAATTTGATTGTCTATACTTTGAGACTGTTCATCTCAAGCTGATACTCAAACCCAACAAAACTAAAGATAAGCAGTTCTTCCTACTATGAAATCCACTGGAGACTCCCATCAGAGTATGAGTGGGGTGTTGTTTAAAATGCAGTATTAATTGTGTGTTCAGTGAAGACACAAAGAGCAGGCGTTGGTCCATAGCAGCATAGAAAGGTGCTGGTATATTTAACATTGGCGTTACAAAAAACATTTCAAACAAAGTGATGCTGTGTCATCAAGTTCAAACAGATAAGACATGGAAATCAATAAAATGGCATGCTCCCACTTAAGACAAGTGACATCCCCCACCCCCAAACAAAAATGTTTAGTTTTTTTTTCCTCCTCATCCATGAATTCTTTTAATAACATTTTATAAGCAATAACATATTCCATTTTATAGAAAATAAACATCTCTAGGAAATACTATACACAATTATATTAGTACATCACATCTTACATTTAAACAGCATCAAATACTTATGTACACCATTAAATAACGAGCTTCATAAAAGAGAGTACGGTGTGGCGTTTTTGCACTTTCTTTTCTGCTTTAAATACTTAAATATGTCTCTTTTTGATATGACTAGAACTTTGACCGACACTCTGCACAGTGTTTTACAGAGTGGGGAAAAGAAGAGGCTACATTTTAGATACACAAACAGACGAAACGTGGCGTGAAGTCTACCTCAAATGCACTTCTTCCTGCGTGGCTGCGGCGTGGGAAATGTTTTACCGGTTAATACTCCTGAACTGTACATCGTCATGAAGTGAGATGGTCTGACTCGGAGCCCTCATCTGCGTCCCGACAAGTGACGATGGCTACTGTACATACTGAATGTGCACACGGTTGAATTTTAACTCTTCAGCAGAAGTCTCTTTTTTTTTTTTTTTTTTGTCATTTTCATATCGATGTGTATACTTTTTTCTTTTTATATTTTCTGAAGAACACAAAGCGTTACATATACCAAGGGTGACGCAATGATGTTTAATGCACATCAAAATACACTTTTAAAGATAAGATATTAAAATACTGCATCTGTTTTTTTCATGTCAGAATATTTAGAACTTGAAGAAGCACATCATCATCATCATCATGTACAGATTTAGTTTTGTTTCTTGTTTTAAACACAAACATTGAGATAGTACATCCAGTGGTTTGCTGTGTTTTTTTTTTGTTTTTTTTTCTTTTCTGATGGATGACATCCTCAGTTCTGAACACTCAGACACACGGACACATGGTGATGGAGTGGCTGTAGAATGACAGTACAAAGGTCCTCTTTCACACACACACACACAAACGCATACAGAAACTCGAGCACACATGGATGCACCTGTTGGCCCACAGACAAGGTGGCCACAGGGATGCTTCAGTCCAATCAATGGCCGCCAGCTGTCTGAGCATGATAGCAGCCCATCAGAAGGCAGAACACACACACTCACAATCCTCGCTGTGCATTTCAAACAGTTTGCACCAGGCTCGAAGCAAAACGTGTCCTCCCTCTGCCTCGCAGTAAAATGGACGCCGACGACAAAATACACTTCTTGTCCGGTTTCAGGAAGCGGCTGCGATCTCTGCGGAGCAGTTTATCCAGAATTCACTTGTCGGCGCTGCCTCCGGCCAACACACCTGTCCATCATCAGTCATCACTGCAGTTTCAGTCGTGTGCTCGCCTCGCTGGATGGGTGGCAGAGTGATGGTTCTGGTGGTGAAGGTGGATCATGGGAATATCTTACAGATCCTACAAGGAACAAGAAAATGATATAAGTCATAAACACATCGAACATAGCCGTGTCCCCATCTTCCTTTATTATGGCCTGCTGTCAACTGTGTGTCTGTTAGCAAAATATTTCATGAACCACTAGATGGCTTTTAATGAAACTCCAAACGTAACCAGTGGACATCCTCAGACAGCTGGCAATCACAGACTGGACTGCATATTTGTATACTGTATTGTTTTTATACTACTAGCGCTTATCATATTTTTAGTCTAATGTTTTTCTTAGTTCATATCTTACATCTTATTACTGTTTTTCTTTTACATTTTTGTTGGATGTACCTGGGACCCTGTGAACCCAATTTTGTTCCACTACATGCACCACATGTGGTGCGTATGACAAATAAAGAAACTCTGACTCTGATATTTACTGATTAAGTTTCAGAGTCACCCCAATTCAAAACGGGCACAATGCTAACATTACCCTACATATAGATGGCTTTAAATCTGTTAATTTTACTGGTATTAAATTTCTTTTTGATGTGGGAGTAGCTGAGAGTCGTCCTCAACGCATAATCTGAGTGCTAATACCAAGATTTGACAATATCGCAGGACTGTACATGACCTCATTTACAAGGTTGGATCAACACAACTTTTCTCAGCTAATATGCTAATGCTGCTAATGCTAATGCTGCTTAATACACCATATTATTTACATTATTAGTGTTTAGCGTATGTCTTAGATTTTGTAGCGCAGGGGTTCCCAAACTTTTCCATGCCATGGCCCCCACAAACAGCATTATCTTCTGGCTGAGGCCGACGTTGCAAACCCACAAACAATGCTACAAAATATGTAAAGAAACATCAACTTTTAGAATGTTTTAACTTTTATTCACTATATTCTATTAATTTTTACAGCTGCTGAGCATAAAAATGTGAGCTCCCATGTTTTAAACACAGAATTATATTCCCACTGAAAAAAACAACAACTTTTCAACAAACTGTCGACCAGAAGAACAAAAAATAAATCTAACCTTTCTCTCAAGTGTGTTTATCTGGAAATGACAGATACAGATTGCCCTAGTGGGCAATTTTTATTGTTATTATTACTATATTTTATTTTTGCTTTTTAAAATCTTCTTCTCTCCAGCTTTCTGAGACCCCCCCATGGCGCCCCACTTTGTAAAACACTGTTTTAGCGTACCGTTTAGTGTATATCAGTGTATATCTTAGATCCTATATACTGTTTCTTTTTATACATTTTTTTGTAATTTTGTGGTGTAACTGGGACCCTGATGCACAATTTCATTCCACCTCATGTACCGCATGTGATGCGAATGACAATAAAGAAACTTGAACTTAAACATGATTTTAGTTTCAACTGTCTGAAAGGTGGCGGGTGATATGCATTTCTTTGAAAGGATGCCAAAGCTTGAATGTTTGGTTTGTCACCGTGCAGACTTCCAACATCAGGTAGCCATGATGCAGAAGAAGGGACTCTGGTGAGGATGGGGTCACTCAGAGCCTCTCTGCTGAGTGACAACATCAAAGCTGCAGGAGTGTGGAGAAGCAGAGCAGCTTCTCTGTGAAACAAGGAACCATCTTACTGTGCTGGCAGAGGAGCACTTATATTCTGTTTATTTTCCTTTCCTGTTCACCCTATCACTGCCAGCTGCCTCTTTCTGAGCCCTGAACTCACAGCTGCTTCGCTCATCATTTCTTTGTTGTTCCTCTGCATTCTCCTCTTCTTTCTGTTTACGTCTCTGGAGTAACACGTTCAGTCTCTCCACCACAGAGGTCCTCTCCTCTTGCTGCTCACGCTCTCTCTCCATTTCTGTCTCTTTCAGTCTGCCGCTCTCTGATGTAACTGCCCCCGTTTGGCTTCTGCTCAAATTCAGCACCAAATCCTGTTTCTGTCTCTCTCACGCTCACATGCGCACATATCTCACAGGTAACCTGCTGATCACCCTGCATAGACGCGCTCAGATCATCCGTGCTTTGGAGAATGTGCAGCTGAACGCTCTGTGTTTGTGAGCAGTATTTTTTTTTTCCCCAGCTCTAAAGTGAACGCAGGCAGAGGGAAAATTTTCTGATGGGGGGACCCACGGGTGGGGTGCTGCTGTGTGTATATGTGTGTATGTGTCTCCTCTTCCCTTTGATTAGGCTGCTCAGCCTAAATTGGCTCGGCACAGACCCAAACGCACGCACACACACACACAGACCTTCAGATCCCTCAGCTGATGACAGCTCTGCCTCACCCCGCTAACAACAACCTCTCTTCGACTCGCTCTCGTTTCCTCTCTGCTTCTCACACTCTGTTTCTGCTGCTCAGACGTGGGAGTTGAGGTGGGGGGGCTGAGGGGAGAAGATGAGAAAGAAAGCAGGAGAATGGGATAAGGTAGGATGAAGGAAGGATGACTGAAAAACCAAAAACGGAGCTCATATAGGATATGAGAGGTGAACAGAACGAGAGACTGAGAGAGAGCTGGAAGCAGCGGGGGAGCAAAGAAGCAAAATAAGGGTAACGGGAGGGAGAGGAAAAAAAGAGGGTCGGGGGAGAATTAATGAGAGGAAGAAGTGGAGAATAATGGCAGGGAAAGAGAAAGCATGTGGGGAGGATAACAGGCAGTGATGGTGGGTGGGGTGTTTTGATCACTTGCCAGCTTTTTATCCCCTACCAGTCTGCACAGAAGAGAACAGGAAAGGAAGAGGTAGCGAAGGAGGGAGGAAAAATGCAGATGCAGAGAGAGTGGTGGTGGTGGTGGTGGGGGGGGGGGGTGCTACTGCTGCCTCAATGCACTGCTGCTCGCTCTGCTTGAATGTCAGCATCTCTCACTCTCTCCACCTCCCCGCTCGCATTTGACCTTCCTCTCTGCGCTGCAGTGTCAACAGATCACCACTAGATGGAGTCTTTCCCTCAGGAAATGTGATCTGAGCTGCTCATTAAAGTGGGGCTCTGCGGACAGGTCATGAACAATTAACATCTTACCTGTTGTAGATAGGTCAGACAGTCTCAGCTCAGAGAAAAGAGTTTAATTCTGAGTCAGCCGACAAACTAATGACTAGTCTGAACAAGGCCAAGACCAAAGGTGGATTGATGGCATGTTAAAACAACTCAAATTATAAAAGTTTATAAACTTTTACACTGCTGTCTCAATTTGCACCGATTTTTATGTACTTATAATTTTTGAATACTTGTTGGCTCAAATATCAGCAGCAGCAGGTAGCTATAGCTTTACTGGCACAGCCGGTGGCACTTCCAACAGGAATGTCTTGATATTTTTATTGGAACACTCATATAATTCAAAACCGACAGTGATGCATCAGTTTCTAAAATAACATTTTCCAGAAATCACCATCTAATATTTAGAGATTTGGATTGATTTTAAAGGTCTTTAATATATTTTGCTCTTGACCATGTTAGAACTAGCTGTTAGCACGTCAGTCTAATCAGAATTAAACTATTTCTCCAAATTGAGGTTGCTCAAAGAGCTACAACAGGTAAAATATTTGAAAACATTTCCACAGAACCCTACATCAGAACATCTGAACTATGGATTCAGTATCTACATTATATAAGTTTTAAAAAAAAGGCTTCTTTTTTTTACCTCATGTTTTGGACATTTGATGGAAAAATCATCCTCATGGAATGTGCAGCCTATAGGGGAAGAAAGAGAAAGAAGAAAAGGAGATTAGAAGTTGATGTCACATATAGAAGGTACAAATAAATCAAACACACTGTACCATAGAAAGGAAATACTGAAGCCCCTTATGAATGGCAAAAATCCATGTAAGTGGCAAAAAGGTAAAACTGTCTTCAGATAGAAAAAAAAAAGAAAGGGAGTGGAAAGAGAGACTGAGTGGTTGAGTTGCGGAGCATATATGGCTGATGCTCTCAGCAGGATTAAAAAAGCCTCGCTCTGCTCCCTGTGCTGGCTCCTCAGACGTGGCAGGCCTTCTAATCTTCACACTGTACCTCTTTGGCACGAGGTAAAACACGTCACAGATGTGCTGACACTTGGAATGACAACAACTGGGAACATACACGCATAAGATCTAAGGAAACACACTTACTGTACGTGTAACATGATTGGAAGAGGATCATAGATGAGCATTTAGGGAAACATCACACACATCAATATGTGCGTGCACACACACAGCTCACTGACAGCAGCATGGATGGAGTCACAGGCGCTGTGATCAATAATGGCACACATACTCTCCCCTCTCTGTTTCTTCCCTTTCTTTTTTTTTCAAACTCCAGTTTTCTTTATCTCATTTTTATACCTTCTTTCCTTTAGTTTGGCTTTCTCCCAGTGCTCAAATATATCGTCTCACACTCAATAATGTTACTCTTCGATGTGCTCCCTTTCATTTTACTTCTTTAGACCCTTCTATCCTTTAACTTTGTTTGTGTTTTTCCTCATATTTTGATCTATCTTTACCCATTCCCAACAAAACTCAAGTTCACCTGCATATTTACCTCCTTTCTACTTACATTTTTCTTGCTTAACGCTCTCTTCTCCCACCAAAGTCTCTTACCTATCTCTTTGGCGCAGACATAGTGGTATTTATAAGAGCAGCCTCTCCAACAGCAGCTGAGGGACGCCCCCACAATCTGGCATTTGTAGCAGCTCTGGGGTCCATCAGACAAATGGACATATGGAATAAGACCAATAAAGAAATAAACAAATAGACCAATGGAGGCAAGAGAGAGAGAGAGAGAGAGAAAAATATATAAGCAATTTCATACATTAGAAGCCATTTTAAAAGTATTTCTAAATAGTGTCTTTTTACTTCCACACGTAGTTCAGAAAAGTTCAAGACCAGTGGTGGGCACAGCTAACCAAAAATTTCGTTTCACTATTCCATTTTCCGCTAACTAAACAAAAGAGATTGGCTAATGCTAAATCACTACACAGGTAAAATAATAATAATAATTTGCGGAAGCTAATGCTAAACCACTAATTGCTAAGACATCTGTCACTCAGTCTGTGTCACGTCTTTGTCTCCTTCGACCAATCACATCTTGTCACGTATAGGCTACATGTAGTAAGACAACTGTGTGCCTAATGGACTGTTTGAGACATGCCCACAACAGACTGGAACAAGCTTGTGAATTTTGTTAGTGGACTTAAAGTTGGCAAAACTTAATTTAGCGGAAGCTAATCCCACTGTTTCCAAATATAGAAAAAATGCAAATCCGCTGAACAAACAATTTCTGTAGCTGTTGGGGATTAGCAGAACTGTGCCCACCACTAAAACTCATAGGTAGTAAAAGCTAACATACCATTTGGGCTGACTTGTTGGCAGCCTCTTTCAGTCCATATAGCCTCCCAGATACCATAATAATTCCCTTGGTCCAGATGGTACAATTTTCATGAGCCCAGTGTTCCTTAGCCTCTGCCTCCATTTGTAGCCTTTGGAACTTGCTTTCATTACCCTCTTGGTCCTTTGGGTCCTCTGTGCTGACAGTATGGAGCTGCTTAATTTTCCTGAACCAATCTCTTAAAGTTAATCTTCGTGGACGACCCTCCTGACACAATCTTTCTGGCCTTTCTGGCCGTCGGTAGCGCCAGTGGTGATGCCTGCTGCCCCTTGTCTCCTGAGAGGAAGCTTCTGTATTCCTCTCCTTTTCTGAGCTGGTTGCACCTTCATTATTTGATGAGGAGTCTGGCACTTCAGTGGTGCTACTATCATTTGCGTCAATCTTTTTGGACTCTTCCCTGAAGGACCGTGTATGTGTGGCAGTCAAAAATTTGCGTGGAATGCTCTCCTCTGTGTAGTAGGGTCCACACAAGTCACCCAGGTCTTTGTAATTTGCTGGTTTTCCACACAAGCAACATGTAAGACTCCTACCGATCAGACTTGTGTTTAGCATGGGTCCCAACAGCATGGCAGCAGTGTGTGGCACCACCTTTGCAACTGTGAAGGGATTCCTCATTCTGAGTATGCCCTTTTTTCTGCGTCTCTGAAATACCACAGCATCCTCAGGTTTGTTGACTATGGCACACCAAGAGGAAAAGTCTCTGGAGTTGTTAATCCGTACATAGGGACAAAAAGACAATTTAGAATGTTGATGGGCTGGTTTACGTCTGATTTTTTTCACAGAAATGACCTCAGTTTGTTTGTCTGTTACGGTCACTACAGGACCCACTATGCATGTTTCCTGGTTTTCTACAGTCTCTTTTCCCCTTCTTTCTATATCTTCTTTTTCTCTCTCCTCTTTTTCAGTCTGTTCACATCCAGCTGCCCTTACAACTGCCTCAATTACTTCAATGGCATCTTTCATGCCAGGTTTTGGCCCAGGCTTTTTGTGGACCTTCACTGGCTTGCTGAGAATCTGCTCCATTAAGGTTTTGCCTCTTTTCCTTTTGCTTGGGTTCGCTGATGGCTTTCGGCCTCTTCGAGGTTTTTGAATGAGCTCTGAACTGACAGCCTGGGGATCTTCTATGATCTCATACTGGCTAATTGGTAGCGGTACTGTGGGCTCTGTGGGTGGAACCTTTTCTTCAAAATGTTCTTGCTTTTCTACTGTTTCATTGTTTGGCTCTTCCACGGTCTCTGTTTTCTCTAAAGTGGCCTCACCTTTTCTTTTCTTCCTTCTTTGTTTTAGGTGCATTTCGTGGTTATTTTTAATAGCCCTCTGTTTGGCAAGCCTTGGAGTCGTAATTATGAGACTATCTGCTTCTAAGGCTACAACTGAGGCGTCTGTACTCTCCACCATTGCCCATCTCTTCCTTTTAGTTCTGGCAGACTTGGTGTCAGCAGTTGATACACTCTCTGAAGCCTGTTGTGTCTTCTCAACTGGAGCCCCAACTTCTAATTGTGTCTCCTTTGAAGTATAAACCTTGTCATCTCCAACATCCTGCTTGATTTCTGTTTTAATATTTTTCTGGCTTGTGTCATTCTTCTGTGTAACCTCATTTTCTGCCCTCATTCCTCCCTCTTCCTGTGTTGATGTCTTTTGACCCACTTCATGCTTTTCCCTTTCTTGTGACAGCTCTTTTTTAACTGCCCCCTCATATTTTACACCTTCTTTTAGAGATTCTATGGTCTCAGTGTTGCTTAATGGTATAGAAGTCTCACCTTCCTTAAGGGCAAATTCAGACAAAGCCTTAGTTGTTACATCATCACTGCTGTCCTGTTGAGTAGCTGGAAGGTGCTTCTTTAGGCTAGGAGATGTAATTTTCTGTACCATGGCCTCATATTTCTGCCCTCTGCCTTTGCGGGGTGGGAGAACTTTTTTGGTAGGGCATTGAGGGGTCACCACTTGCACATCACTGATGTTAGTTCCACTGATATTTGAAGGAGTGTCTTTAGTAACAGAGGCTTTCTTGGTTGGTCCTCTTCTTCTGGGACCTTGAACGCTCTTATCTTCAGGTATGGGGGCAACTTGTTTTCGCAAGGCAGGTTGAGGTGGCGCTGTTTTTAGTTTTGGCTTCGGACCTCTTTTTTTTTTCAATGGTATTATTGAAACTTCTAGGTTACATTTCCTCTTTAGTGGAGGGAGTGTTTTATCCATAGATTCATTTGATTGGACTGGCAGTGCAGGTGAAGCAGGTGAGTTTTCAGGAATATCTGTTTGTTTGACTGCATCAGGGCTAGGGTTTTGCTCCATAGCCATAACCTCTTCTGCTTTTGACGTATCATCATTGCCTTTCATTTCAGTAAGTGTTTGGGTTTGAATGACCTCTTCAATAATTTTCTCTTTCTCTTTAGACACTTTTTCCTGTGAGGGCTTCCTGGACCTCAATACCATATTCTTACTTTCCTTTTCATGTACCTTTAGTTCTGAGTGTACTTGTTTTTCCTGTTGTTCTGTTGACTTTACATCCTGGTTCTTTTGGGATATTGTAACTTTTAGGCTCTTCCTGACTTTGCTTTGCAGTTCTGTTAAATGTTGACTTGTGTCTTCTTGGTTATCTAACCTGGCTTTAGAATTTGAACCTCTGGGACGACCCACTGGGGCCTTGATTGATGCGGCGTCCACTGAGGACAACACATCTGCAGGCTTAAGCACAGGCTTAGAACCTGGTTTTGGACCAGGTTTTGATCCTGGTCCTGGTTTTAAACCAGATTTGGGCCCTGGTTTTTGTTTTATTGTGATTTCAATTTTGGGGGACATTTCTGGCTCACTTGACACCAATTTTTGTCCTGATTTTGTTCCAGGTTTTGAGCCCGACTTCACACTAGGTTTAGGTCCTGGTCTTGGCCCTGGTTTTGCTCCTGGTTTTAGTCCAGGTGTAACATCAGGTTTTGGCCCAGGCTTAGAACTTGGACCTGGTTTTCTTTTCATGTTAAGTTCAACTTTGGGAGTCATATCTGGTGCATTGAATGATCGAGTGCACATTCTTGATTGAATAGTATCTGTTGACATTTTGGGAGCCTGGCTCACAATAGGTTCCTGTTGTGCTAAGTTGGTTTGATCTGAGTATAAAAGAGTTTTGCTTGTAGGCATGCATGCTTTTTGTGTAGGAGAGTTTGCACCTTCCTCTCCCTTTTCCCCTTCTCTTTCCAAGCTTAGCTGTCGTCGTAATCCTACACCTGAATGCACTATCCTCCTTCTTCCCCTGGCATGCTTACGCCCAAATGCCCTTGGCTGAGCAGATGGGGCCACAGGCTCTGGTTTAGCCAGTGGGGTCACAGCACTGGCACAGCTGATGCCTGGTTCTATATCCTCATCACCTTTTTTGGGAGAAGGTGGGGTATCTGCCCAGGATGGGGCAGAGGGAAGTATTGACTTTCCTGGCAGCTGAGGAGAGTCTGGTTCAAGAACTTTAGCATCGCTGTGATCAATATGATCCCTACTCTGACCTGAAGATGTCATCTTGTCATTGAGAGCAGAGAAGACTGGTGTTGCAGAATGAGACTGAGGAGCTGTGTCACCAATGGCTGACTCCATAGTAGAAGCATCTGTTGCTGTGGTTGCTGCTGCTGCACTTAGATGTTCAGGTGCCCCTGCAAAGTTGCTATCAGTAATAAGCACAGAATTTGTACTCTCTGTCTTGCTGTTGTGATCTCCTGAATAATTCTCTTGACTATCACTACTTATGAGCTCTTGAGTCAATGACTGGCTTTCTATCTCCTCCCCCTCTTGTTCCTCCCCAACCTCTCCAGTTGAAAGAGGGGAAAAAGAGGTTTTTATTGTTTTCTGTATATCACACCGCTTCTCCTCAATAATATCTTTACCTCTTCCCTCTTCCTCTTTTTCATTCTCTGGATCTCTGTTCTCTCTTTTATCTGAGCTACTGTCGTCCAAGGCTTCTACTTTGGGGGTTGGAGATGTGTTTTCTGAGCTCTCCTCTTTCTCTGTGAAATATTGATCCTGCTCAAGGTCTTCCCTTGAAGTGAAAGGCAACGTTTTCACAGAGCTCTCAGATGCAGTTGGAGATTCTGATTTGAATGCCTCTGATTTTATCTCTTGACCAAAGTGGTCTTTGTTGCTAGAGTCAGAGAAAGCTGCTGGGGACTGTTCAACTGAATATCTTGCATCAGAGTCATATTTACCCTGAACATCTTGGTATGCTGTTTCCTCATAGCAATAGTTTTTTTCTGTCATCTCTGTGTTTACTTTGCTATAAGGAGCTGGAGATTTGTCTTCATCTGACCATTTCTCATGTCTCTCTGTAAGGTTAGTTGTGTCTGAATCTCTTACAGAGTCAGAAGTTTTTACTGTTGTTAGTTCATCTTTTTCAGCGGATTTCTCTGTCCATGCTGACTCCTCAAAATTTTCTTTGACAGGCTGATTGATATGATGAATATCTGAAGGAGAATCTCTTTCTTGTTTCAAAGGACTTGAAACTGTAATGCTTGTTGGAGAGGTCTCATCCCCAATGCTCTTCGCTGGAGTACTCATGCCATCTCCTCCCTGCCCCATGTGACATCTAGTAGGATCAGGGGTAAGGTTGTGCAGACTTGAGTCCCCAGACCTGGTGGACATATCATCTGGAGATGCGATAGAGCAAGAAGAGGCTGTGTCCAGGCTGAGTTGTGTATTGTTATGAGCCTGGGCTGGACTTCTGCCCTGGCCAAAGTAATAGTAGCCCCTGTCGAGTGGTTCATCACTACTGCTGGAGTAGCCACCCTCATGGAGTTCCATGGGCAGAGACGGGTGCTGTGGGGTAGAGTAAGGGTCTTGTATTGGCCCTCCACCCACATTACCACAACCATCTGGATATGGAGGACTTTTGTATTCTTCACCCTTTTTGGAGGACACGCCACTCCCACCACTGCTGTTGCTCCCACCACTTGTGCGTTTACCGCCTTTCTTATTTGCAACCAGTGCCTCTGAAAGCAGTAGTTGTTGGACATTATTGGAGATATTTTCCACCTGAGAGGTGAGGGCATTCAGGCTCCACAAGCTGGGGTTTGACAACAACTTCTCTGAGAATCGTTCTTTCATGGTGGGTACTTGTGGTGTGGTTGAGTAGCTGTGGGGGGTTGGATGGGGAATGTTGGGTGAAGGATGTGACCGTGGGGGCATCAACATTGTGTTGGCACTGGCTTGTTCTTGCATCCCAGCTGAAGAGGATGAAGAAGAGGAGGTTGCCCCAGGTGTCATGGGTGGTTGGCCATACTGAAATGACTCTGGATTGGTCATTAAAGGTGAAGGGGTGGAACTATATGAGGGGGAGCGCCCTACAGAACGTGCAGGGGAGTGGCTTGAGGAGGGGCTACAAGTTTGATAATACTGTTCTGGAGATCTGACAGGCAGCTCTGAGAGACAGTAGTTTGGTTGGGGTTGGTTGTAGTGTTGATATTTAGGATGGGATTCTTGGGGGTTGGTCATTGCCTGTAAAGGGGGCTGTTGCTCATACCCTCTTGGATTTGACTGCGGGTACCCATAACTGTTCTGAGGAGACCTATAGACTGCCTGCTTCAAACTGCTGTGGCTACTCATCTGCCTGCCATACTGGGAATTTTGAGGCATGTTATAACCTTTATAACAATGGGGAAGAGGACTGCATTTTTCCATATATGATGATGGAGAGGGAGAGTGCTGGGGATAGTGCAAGTGACTCTGGGGATACATGAGAGGTGAGGGGGCAGGGTTAGGAGGGTGGGGTTGGTGGTGGGGACTTGTATAATTTGTGGTTGAAGGCTGATGGCACTGGGTTTGAGAGTGTCCAAGGATATTTGAGTCCACAAACTGGGAGGAACCAGGTGCAGGTGTGGCACTAGCCTCCAAACGTCCCACTATTTCCTGGTCATACTGTGCTAACTGGGCTGGGTCCTCCCACTTTTGCTGAAGGTGTCCCTCATTCATATACTGAGCTGAATAAGTCCCGGGACCTAAGTGGTTACTGTAGCCCCCAGGACCCTGCAAGTGCTGACTTGGGTTTGGTGGGGGTACTTTGCTTCCTCGAAAAGGCTTTTTTGCCTGAGAGACTGTAGAGCCCCCGTTTCCATTCCCGTTTCCTCCACTATTTCCTTGGTAACCAGCATAGTTTTGCTGGTTGTAACAGTCTTTGGGTCCTCCTCCAATTCCCGCTCCACCAGCTGGAGGCATGCTAGTAGTGTTTGCCAAGGTATGAGCCTCATAAGCCAATCTGCTCTGCCCTGGACCTGGGCCTGGATGTGGACCGGGGCCTGGGTGCGGGTGCTGGGGGTGAGGATGATGTGGGTGTTGCCGGTAGGTCTCCAGCCGAGATAATTCATGGGGTTCCTGCTGGTAGCAGGGTTGGTTGCTGTGGTAACCACTGCTGCGCTCACGGAAGGACTGCATAACGCTCTCAGTCTGTAACCTGTGCAGGGAAGGGGAGTTGAAGTGAGATGGGACAGGATGGGATGGGAAGGACGGGTGAAGGGTTTGAAGGTGGGGGTACAGGAAGAAAAGAAAAAGTCATGGTTAGTGGTGTTGAGCCTCAAGTTGAAACATTTAGCATTTTCTGAATTAATGTTTAAAATTCACCAGCAATAAAGTCAAAATTCTCCCACTTTTAAGTTAAAAGATGGAAATTCTGTTTTGTAAACTTGCCCAAACAGTTTAGACACTCACTGGTGGTCAAACCCAATGTAGACACAGATCTATTCAGGTCAGTAATCTAATCTGATAATTAAGACTTGTTAAAAGTGATTCCACCTATTTTGTTGTTGTAGAGGTTCAGATAAGTGATTTTATGTTTGTGTATTAAGGGTTTCAGACCTCTTTTGTCAGTGCTGGAAGTTACAGAGTTAGTATTATGATGTTTCTGGAGTTCACAAAATAAAATTCTATCTTTTTACTGTGTGTATTGAGCAAACAAATCTTGTGTGTGTGTCAAAATGTTGTCATGCATTCAGGGCCATTACACTATTTCTCAGTTTGAACTAAGCTCCTTTATATAAGTATTTTCTTTATATTTGATTGTCTCTTCTATTTACTATGCCAACACTGATGTTACAATTTATTCCTTAAACAAACAATGCAAGAAATGCTTTTCCCTTTGCATTTGATCCATTTTAAACTTCTCTCATGTTCTGCTCCAAACTTCTCTCATGTTCTGCTCCAGTGCAAACTTAGGTTTCTTCCAAGTGTAAGCAAGAAGTATTACAGTGTGTATCTGTGCATGGTTTCAGAGCACGAGCCACAGAGGGTTTGTGTTTGTGGGGTACGATGTTTGTTCCGGTGTGGGGACTCTCTTGTTTTTCCTGCATGCAAATGTACAGTATGTGTGTTCACTAAAGCATTTATACAGAGGAGAAAGGAATAAAGGAGGGGTGGAAAGTGTTCTTACTCTATAAAAGGAAAAGAGTCACCTGGAGACAGAACATTGAGCATCTGTGTGTGTGTGCCGTTTCAACACAATATCCCAGCTTTCAATCCACTATGGAGACAGTGGTGCATCCCACCAGACACACAGCAGCATTATTCATCTCTGAATACACTGTATGTGTGTGTGATGATGGATGGAATGTGTGTATTCACTCTTTTGTGTCCATGCTCAAATAAGAGTTTGGATCAATTTGTGTCACCCAAAGCAAGTTTTAGACTTTTTTGGGGGAGTCTCTTCAATGTACACACATTCATTTACAAATAAACAGATACAGATTTCCATGGAGACTCTGCCTGCCCTCCCACCTTTCTATTTCCCCTGCCTCCAGCTTTGTACTTCCTCACCCCAGAGAGATACAGGTATATAGTGCATGTGTGTGTGTTGGGATTCTTGTTTACTCAATAATAGGAAGATACAGAGTAGGATTTTCCTAGTTTGCTGAGAACAGCACATGGGATGGATTAAAACATACATTATTTTCAAATCCAGAGGTTTCAGCCCATTGTTCTCTGCTGCAGTTAAAGCAATGGTTTAGATCTTTGGGTTCTGGAAAGCTTATGAACAATTATAAATTTTTCTTTTTTTTTTTTTTAAATGCTAAAAATAAATGCTGCAGATAAGTCTTTGATCAATATCAATGTGAATAAAAAGAGTTTAATTCTGTCCGGAATGATGAGCTAACATATATACTTTGTAGTTTGAGCGAGGTGAAGACCAACCACTGCCAATGTAAAACAACTCCAATCTCATATGAATGCTATTTTATCAGTGTTATTATTTACACAGAGTGCTGTGATTATTTACAAGTGCAAATAATGACAGCAGCAGCATTTACAGTGCTGCCTGGGGCACTTGAGGCAGGAATATCATACAAAGTATTTCTATTGGAATGACCTACATTATATTTACCTTTTTTTAATAACTTGTTTTTTTAATAATCTTTGAGTTTACATTAACTGACTACCCAGCCAATGAGAGGAAATTTCATTATAGTCAAAGTCAAGGTAAAAGTTTCTTTATTGTCATTTGCATCTCATTTGGTATATGTGGTGGAAGGAAATTGTGTACACAGGGTCCCATTACATCCAACAAAAGTATAACTTGTAAAAGAAAAACAGTAATAAGATCTAAGATATGAACCAATAAATACACCAAACACTTAATAGAGCAAAAACAATATGCCAAACAACAGCAGCACGAACACGAGTGTGTGCGAGCAGATGAGCACGAATGAACACAGCAGCATGAAACAAATCAGCAGCATGAGATCAGCAGCAAGTATAGTCAGCAAAACATATCGACTATCAAGTGGCATTACAGTGATCCTTCTTTTTTTCACAGTGATGATCCTGGTTAGAGATTCACGAGTCTAACCGCCGCAGGGTAGAAGCTGTTCCTCAGTTTAGTGGTTCTGCAGTTCCGCACCCAATGTTCCCCAACCCTCCGCCTGAGGGGAGCGGGGCGAAAAGAGCGTGCGCGCTGGGCGAGTGAGGTCCTTCATGATGCAGATGGTCCTCTTCCTGCATCTGGAGGTGTAGATGTTTGTGAAGGTGGGGAGACTGACTCCAACAGTCTTCTGTGCAGCCTTCATCACTCTCTGCAAAGCTTTTTTTTTCTGCAGCTGTGCAACCTCAGGTCATCTGGACAGTTTCCTTGGATGAAGGACGAAACGTCTCAGCAAAATAAAGAAACCGTCCAGATGACCTGACTGAACATTGTTTTATTTTTACCTGGGATATTGAGCATGAACTTTGATGAACTGATTCAGTTCAGTTCAATTCAATTCAATTCAATTCAGTTTATTTTTACAGCGCCAAGTCACAACAGTAGTCATCTCTATTGGGGTTGTGTGTGTGTGTGTGTTTGTGTGTGAGAGTACTCACCTTGCAGATGCTGATTAGCTGAGACAGAGCTCCTGGGTTGCCACCTGTTTCCCATCTGGCTGACGAGCCCAGCCACTATTTAAGCCTGTGTGGAGGTTCCAGTCTTCGCTGAATCATTGTTCACCTTGGGGTATTGTGAGACAGCCATTTAGTACTTTTCCTTGAGAATTCTGAATTATTCAACTCGTGTTCTTCTTTGACTTCAAGGCAAGCCTTGGACACACCTGGAGATTCTAAACCTGACGAACCTCCTCTGTACTGGACTCCTCTAGAAGCTCTGTCCTCCAACCTGCCACTTCACCTCCACTTCAACCCCCATCAAGAACCCTTCAAGGTATCTACATTTCCAAGTGGACTCTCTTACCTGTTGGACTTCTTCCTCCTTGGGTCTGCCTCCTCGTCATCACCCTGTAAGAAAGAAAAGGAATTCATCTTCAATTCTGATTATCAGTCTCGTCCAAGCCTCCCTGCTAATACTCTGCACTTTGCCTTCCAGGAACCCTGATTTCCCTACTCCCTGCACTGTAAATAAAATCACGTAAACTTTTATTCGTGTCTGTCATCCCTCTCAGCCTTGTCTGAA